AATCACTAACATCACAATCAAGTTATGTGAAGCGACACTGAAACACTTCAATGTTACCTCTTTATATGTAATAATGGAATGTGAACGTTGTATCACACAAATGACTCGCATACACGTTTCTTATACATGAAACAACTATTACATCTATACGTAAAAGAAGCTGGACGAGTCACTGTTGCATTGTGGGTAATATATTCAAATGAGTACTGGAGCTCCGACGATCACACGGCTCTGATTATGTTTCAAATCATATATTGATTTTATAACCTAGAACAGGGGTCCTCAGACTACGGCCTGCGGGCCAGATCCGGCCCGCCAGGGTCCTTGGCCCGGCCCGTTCGGGTGTCAAGGCCGGATTAAGGGAGCTGCAGGCCCCTACCTTTATTTCCTCCCAGCCGGCCGTTGTAAAAAAAACGGCCAGCCGGGAGCTCTCAAGATCAGCCACGCCCACTTGCGCATGCGGGAAATGCAGTCAATTTAAAAACAGGCAGCGATGCCTGTTAACATACAAGCGATCCGCCGGCTATAGAGCCGGCGGATCGCTTGTATGGGCGGTCGGCCCATGTCCCCCCCCTCCGCGGCCCCCCTCCCGTTGTCACGCTGATCCCGGGCTCCGCTGTGCCTGGTGCAAGCCCGGGACCAGCATAGTGCCTCTGACAGGGGATCAGAGGGAGGTCGGTACACGATCTCCCTCCGGTCCCCTCTGCGCTGTAAGAATGCAGAAGTGATGTATATTACATCACTTCCCCATTCTTGTGTCACTCTACAGCTTCAGACGCTGGAGAGAAGCTGATGAAGCAGATCTCTGCTTCTTCAGGGGAATCCTAGGTGACATTAGGGGTCTTGGAGACCCCTGATGTCTCCATAAAGAGGACCTGTCACATCTTTTGCTATCACATAGGGGGGGTGGGGTTTCTTAGCCCCCTATGTAATAGCAATAAAGCCGAGTGAAAGAAAAATAGAAAAAAAAATTAAAGTTCCAAAAAACCACCTAATGTAGAAAGTGATACATTGTAGTTACAAGGCACCACATGGTGTTACAGTTGTTACCTCATCACCATCCAACTCTTAGTATATTCTCCATTTAATTTCCACATCATGAATCCAATATTCCTCATATTGTTGTAATTAATTCTTCTATCATTATACCAGCGAGATTCAGTCTCCGTAGAGACTGTCAAAAATTGCCAGTGCCGGCTATATTTCAAGCCGTCATGGCGGGGTATTGGGAAAAGTTTTCAATTAGCAATAATCGCGCCTCGGATAAACCTCATTGGCTACGATACTGCCACTGCGCAAAGCTACCGAACGCTATCCGTGCTGAGGTCCCACTCTCACTAACATCACAAACAACTTATGTGAAGCGACACTAAAACACTTCAATGTCACTCTGTTGTATGTAATAATGGAATGTGAACGTGGTATCACACAAATGACTCGCATACACATTTCCTACAGATTAAATAACTATTACATCCATACGTAAGAGAAGCTGGACAAGTCACTGTTGCATTGTGGGTAATATATTCAAATGAGTACCGGAGCTCCAACGAACACACGGCTCTGATTGTGTTTCAAATATTTTATTGATTTTATAACCTAGAACATTACAAACATTCTGGGAACCTTATTTAATTAACCCCTTCGCCACCAGTGACGTACATAGTACGTCACTGGCAGCGGGCCCGTTTAAACAGACTCCCGTCAGCTTTTACATTTGTAGAGCCGGCTTTACAATAGAAGCAATTCTGGTGACTCGGCTGTCGCCAGATCGCTACTGCAGGCCGGTAAACTGCCCGCCCCATGAGACCAGCATCTCAGGTGCTGGCGGGAAGCTGGGGAGGAGAGCGACAAATGTCCACGTGCCGATCTCCTGCCCACTCTATGGGACTGGGAGCGATGCAGATTACATCACAATAGCTGTCAGTGCTGGGCTCCTGAAGCCCAGCAATAAGCTATTGATGTGCGATCTGCACTTCAAAATGGAAAGCTCAGTATATAACAAGCTACAGCTCGCTATATATTGAGGGCACCACAGCCGGGATGGATCCCAACAATTCTGTCTGGATCCACCCAGCTAGCTGATTGACAGCGGGCTCTGCCAATGTAGAGGCAGAGCAAGCTGTGCCCACCCCCTATCCCATTTGTTCCTCCAGTCAGCCCTGGAGGATCAGAGAGGGAGGAATCCCTGCGGGAAGCGGTGATTGACAGTCACGGCTGTCTGCAAGGAGATGATCAGAAAGTGAGCGAATTACGGTATGTGTTCGCTCACTTCCCGATCAACAGAGCTGACCTGTGACAGTTTCTTTATAAAAACTTTGCAGAGCCATTCATCCAACACAATTGCATGTACATTTGTCAGATGTGAATATAGCCAAAAAATAATGTTATCACTATATTTTCTTTCCAGGTCTGGAAAATACGGCATAATGGCCACAAGATGGGGCATAGGAAATACCTTAATTCCTATAGTTCTTAGCTCCCATTTAGTGGACATGGAAAGAAAATATGTTAATAACATTCGTTTTTTACTCTATACGCACAGATCAAATGTAAATGCAATTTTCCAGAATGAATGGCTCTGTGAATCATTAATAAAAACACCGCTAAGAGTCATGTTGTTGCACTCGGTTCTATTCTATTTGCACACGATCTTGCCGGTAGCAAGATTCTGCACACAAACTTTTCTGTACAGCATCTGAACTGCATGGACATGGAGTCCATATAGCTGAGGTGCATAGAGACAGCTTCTTCCCTGAGAAGTGATGGTCTTAGAAAAGTCATTTACTAGGCAGCTGCTGCTCAGGGTGTACATTAACAATAGTGTGTAATCAGTGGGGGTCGTCTGCCGTGAGTGAGTCATTCATGCGCCAGCGCCACTGACTACACATTATTGATATTTACATGTTGAACCAGAGCTGCAGTAGTGCTGACCAATAGGGTTAATTAACACAAACGTTTACATGCATACAGCGTAAAAATACCACCAAACGCAGAGCCCCGAACGCAGATTTTTCTAGCTTTGGTAGCTGTATGTAGCTGAACACTATGTACCAAAACAGACCAGTGGGCATGGGCCCATAGCATACTATAATGCTGTATTGAGTTCCATATACATTTACAGACCAGAACACAGAATGTTGTAAGCCTGTGATGTGGAGGTAGAATTGGATCATGCAGTAGGCAACCTAGGCAGGGGCCTAGAATCCAGGGGCTGTCCAGGGAGCCCAGCTACATCCTTCATGCTCCTGTAGAAAACCGGGGGATAGTGCAATTACTCAAAGCTGTGCCCTGCTTTACAAAAGAGAATGAGCTCCTAGTCCAGGGATGGACAAATTAATATGGAATTTAGGAGGCAGCGGGAATTTTTATAGGAGCCATTGACAACTACAGAAAACCTCAAAAGTTAGGCGTCAGCTTTCATTTTTAAGGAGCATTGGCGACCTGGCTTCTGGGATTTGTCCAGCCCTGTCCTAGTCAGTTGGCATCTGATGAGGCCATGCCACTACAAACAATCAATTGCAGCAGCTTACCTGTGCCTATTGCAATCCTTATTAATGTCAATTAAAGGAATGTCTCTTTAGAGACCATGTCACCAACTTAATAGATTGCAGTCAAAACCACACAAAAAATATCAGAATTTTAAAGGGCTTACTTGCGGTTTTTTCCCTTTCCATAAGTTATATTTATTCACTTGCAATGTGTCTTTGAACTTGCCAGAAAATGTGACAATTCCAGGAAGAGTCAATTCTGTAGCACAGACCCTTCCCTCCTTGCATGCCCTCTCCTCTAATGGGAGTGTCAAATGTATTCTTGGGCTGACCCAGCTCCTCCACCAAGCCCCCCTTCCCCAACAATACCTTTTATGCAGCTGCCCGGGGAGGAGCGAAGAGGAGTACAGTACAGTTACTTGAGTGATAGGTCATTGTGGAGTCTGCTGGGGCTGTGCTCAGAGTAATACTGCATTGAACATTGCTCACTTTATTATGAGCGCCATTCAGTGCAGAAGTACAGACAACCCGCCACCGGAAAGGAAAAGGATGGTCCAGGATATAACTGGACCAGCCAGAAGACCCTTACAAGCAAGGTGTACATACACACCGGCTCCCATACAACCCTTCCTCTACCCAGCATGCCTCAGTTTTGTGAGAAAGCAATACACAGGGCGGACCTGTGTTCCTCAATAGACAAAACAAATAAAATATTGTAAGTAAAAAAATCTAAATTTTCTTTATTGTCCATTGAGGGACGCAGGAATCCAGAAACAGCCAGCATGTCCAAAAGTAGTCCAAAGAAGACAACAGCCACTGACAGAGCCAGCATGTCCAAAAGTAGTCCAAAGAAGACAACAGCCACTGACAGATCCAAGAAGTGACTAGGAACTGTCTGCAACATAAAACTACCTGAAGGACTAAGCCCTCCTCATGGTGTTTGCCAATGACCAAGGGGAGGCCTCAGGGGATCAACCAGATTCTCCAGACCAGGACAGAAGAGATCTATTTATAAACATTTTCACCAAAGTCAAATTTTTCCATTTGGATTTAATTGAAAAAGTGTGAATCCTGGGTCAAAGTTGTTTGAAAAATGTATAAAAAGAGCCTTTGTATGTGATTAGCAGCAAGCAATCTTCTTATCACTTGTATTGCCCCATAAGCTGACACCAGCAGGCTCTAATCCACCTCGACTCTAGAGTTGTCACCTCTACATAGATAAAACACCTATCATATCCGCCCCGCCCCTCCAACCTTTCAATAACACTGTCCTTACGTCCGAATTTTTGCGGCTTGGTTGCTGCCCTACACAGCTCCCCATTCATTCACAACAACCTTTTAGCTCAGTGTAAAGTGTGCGTGGGATCATCTTTGCAGCCTTCCTGAGATGTGAAGCCCCTTTAAAACCGCCAATAACCCTTTGTCGCTACTCTATCCACGGGCTATCCCCACTCTATTCCCCGGTCTTATAACCCTCTCAAAGTGGAACTTCCGGTCTGCGCGCGGAGGATTGTGGGGACTGTAGTTTTGCTTCTACAGAGCCGTGACAGCAGCGGGTGAGTGTGTCACGTAGAGGGTATTCGGTTAGGTTTTATGGCTGCCGTCTGCCCCGTGGTCTGTCCCGGCATACACCCTCCCAGCAGTACAGGGAACATTAGGAGTGTGTTATGGAGGTTGCTCATGTTATGAAGTGATTAGTAGAGCTTAATAAATGAGCTTTTCTTCTGCCGTGCTCTTCACACCCTGACGTAGTGTGGGATGTCATTAGTGACGTCATGGACACATGACTAGAGACGCCATACAATACTTATCACAAGGTCTAACCCTTCCTCACTATACTCTAAATGCCCCTTTTTGAGTCACAAGGCTTTATTCACACGGACATCAGGATTACAAACACCTCTAAAAAATCTCTTTGGTGGTTCACTTTTCAGAGGAGTTCAGGAGGTAATACTGCTACCTCCTGAATGCCTGCTTTGGCTTTTTATTGTGAGGGGAATTTCACATGACAATACTGCAAGCGTTTGGCCCTTGGTAGCGGGGTGGCCTTGTATAGTTCAGTGGGCGCGTTGGGCAGACGCCACCCCCTGACAAATGTGCCACGCCACAACCATGTATATATACCACTGTGAGTGGCTGCCATGTACAATTGTAGGTGGGTGTTCAGGGGAGGGGCAGTAAAAAAGCAAATGACCCAGCCTAGGGGTCCATTCACACTGGTGTGTATTGTGATTGTGCGTCAAATGTGCAAGCTTCTGCGTATGTTCATGATACATGCACAAACGCAGAATGCATTTGCGGTGCCACTATTAGGTAATGGTACTCCAAATGTGGCCAAACAAATGTGTTTTCCACATGCGGGACAAAAACGAGGAAAGCATGTCGCCAAATTTGTGGCATGTACTTCTTTTCTGCTTTTGGTGTGTGTTCAGGGACCCAATGGGGACGTGCGGAAAACAAAGTCCTGTAACATGCGTCCCCGCTATGCCGCAGTGTGAACTGAGCCTACAAATACATTTTCCATCACTTCCTGGCAGAGGCCCTAACCCAGGGGTAGGAAACCTCGGCCCTCCAGCTGCTACAAGTCCCATGAGACATTGCATTATTCTGACACCCACGGACATGACTCCCAGATGCATGATGGGATTTGTGGTTTCACCACAGCTGGCGTGTCAAGGTTGGCTACACATGCTGTAACCTGTCCACGCTCCATCCAAAGTGGAGTAAACAGTTTGGGCGCTCTACACAGGTTCCTGTGTGACGACATGAAGGATGGGAATTGGACTGCAAATCTGAATACCTGCTGGCCATTCCAGCTTGTTGCTGCACCACAAAGATAAACCTTACCTAAGCCAGCCACAGAGTGGTGTTGGCATGGCAGTCACCTGGCTGGTAAAACTCGATGCCAATGTTAGTAAGAGGAAAGCAATCATAAGGACTGTATTTTCCCCAGGAATTGGTGTATATAAAGCATGGATGAGGGTTGGGCACCTCTGGGGACATGTAAGTCACCGCTCCCTGCAGGGATTCCCCCCTCCCCTCTCTGTTCCTCCAGGGCTCATTGGAGGGACAGACAGGGGAGGGGGTGGGCACAGCTGGGTCTGGCTCTAGAGTGGCAGAGCCAGCTGTCAATCAGGTAGCAGGGACCCCAATATTGTTGGGATCTTTCCCTGCTGCAGCACGGCTATACGCTGTCAGCATATAGCAGGCAATAGCCTGCTATTTGCTGAGTTTTGGGTCACAGGAGGCTATAGTAAAGGTCCTCTTGTCACCCAAAAGAGAACAAACACTAAAAAAGGTTGTGCCATAGTTCTCTTTAAAAAAAAAAAAAAAAAGACATAAAGCCAAACCTCAGCGTCACTTCTCTTTTGGGTCGCAGGAGAACATTTACTAAGATATCCCTGTGGCCCAAATTCAGCAGTTACCAGGCCAATGCCCGCTTACATAAAAAAATAGAAGCAGGAAGTGCACATAGCATGGAATTTACCGGTTATCTTAATCTTGACTAGTGTTTTCCTTGGTAGATTACAGAACTCACTGTCACTTATTCTACTTGTCTTGCAGAAGGTGAACTATGATCATAGCATCTGAATGATGTGGATCTCAGCCCCCAAATGTTCTCTTGCGTTTCGTAAACACAGTATTGCCTTGATCAGACGGAGCTCTAATCTAAGTTTGTCAGGATATGTCCCAGGCTGTCCCCCTGCTGATCCGAATGAAGTGGAGCGCCTCCAAGACTTTGTGCTCCGCTCTCAGAGATTGTTCGTCATGACAGGTGCTGGAATCTCCACAGAATCTGGAATCCCGGATTACCGATCAGAGGGAGTGGGACTGTATGCCAGGACTGAACGTAGACCCATTCAGCATGCAGACTTTGTCAGGAGTCAGGCTGCTCGCAGGCGATACTGGGCCCGGAACTTTGTAGGGTGGTCACAGTTTTCATCCCATAAGCCGAATGTGGCGCACATGGCTCTCTATAACTGGGAGAATGCTGGGAAGCTGCATTGGTTAGTGACACAAAATGTTGATGCCTTACACGTTAAAGCTGGACAGCGCCGTCTGACTGAATTGCACGGGTGCACCCATAGGTAATGAGAACAAAGTATTATAGCTTTCTAATAACTTACAGGTCTATTCACAGAAGGGTGAAGAGTTTGGAGAAGGCAGAACAAGTGGACAATCTAGGACAACATAGCTGAACTGGAAAGTGAGCTGAACTGGAGAATTTTTCCAAATCAGCTATGTTGTCCTAGATTGTTCACTTCTCCTGCCTTCTTCAAAATCTTCACCCTTTTGTGAATAACACTGTTAATGTTTTCCTTCTCTGCTTCTTTGTCAGTTCATTTTAATTTATCCTTGCACTTATTTTGTGCAGCTTTTGTTTAATGCTTTTTAAGGCAACCTGTGAGGCCAAAAACATATGGTTTTTAAAATGGAAGCAAGCTATAGGGTCTATTAATAGTTCAGGTACATGATGAGATTCAGATTTTCAACCAGTTCTGGTAGAGTATATTGTGTTCATTTAAATATATACTTGGTGCCATGATCTTACCTTGCGGCACTTCGTCCGCACATCACGGCACCTCCCTCAGCAGCGACGTCACCTCTCCTCGTGATGGACACGCTGGCCGCCATCAGTAACTCCACCCACTAGACGCCGGCTCCCTCGTTAAGACAGAGGGAGATTCAATTGCTCGGCGTTCAAGCAAGGAGAATGTACGTTGAGCAATTGATCCCCCTCTTGCTGCACCGCTCTCCATCCGGAATTTTGGGCTGATTGCGGTTTCCTTCAGAGCTACTGCTACACGCCTGCAAGCGTTATCCGTGGATTCATATCCCACGTACCCAGCTGCACAACCGCAAGTAACCTGTACTGAACATAGGGGTAATCCCTGTCTTTGTGAACTGTGCATACGCTTCTGTGTACCTTGCCATCTTAATTCCCTCAATTGTTACTAAGACTCCGTTAGTTGTGCACTGCTCAAATTGTTAACCAGCTAACCCGAACTATTCTTCACAGCAGACCCCATGCTGCATCTTATTCAACCCCTTTAGTCCTCCATTGAATGTTACTCATTAAGACACCACATTATATTGTCACCCCTGTATGACTGTAATACAGAGGTATATGGGGTATGTTTATATTGGTGGTATATGATGTGTGTGGGAGCTGCGCCCCCTCTTCCTCACTATAGAGGCATCCCCAGCCTGAACGCCTACTATCTCGAACAGGGCTCTGATAACTAGATCCGCAGTTGTGATCCAGCAGCTTAAAGGAAGACTCTACTGTTACACTTGGCCAAATATGAAATATAGAGTGAATTGTTGGGAACACCATGTATCTATGGATGACTGTTAAAGGGATATCCCTTTTTAAAGTAAATCCAAGTTGTAATCCCAGATTCACTCCCATCTTTCAAGCCTTCCCTCATCTAACTGTTTACATTTCCTTGGAGGTTTCCATTCAGGAATAATAATACAAGTGTGGACAGACTGCTGTAGAATTGAGGAGCCACTCTGTACAGGTCAAGAGCCAGCAGGATTTTTTTAGGAGACAGCTCCATTGACATCAGCTAGAGAAAACCTCAAAAGTTGGACACCAGCTGTAAGGAACATTAGCTACCTGGCTCCTGGGATTGGTCCAATCCTGTAATCCAATAATGTAACAGCCAGAGAGAATACCCTGGACTCAGAAGTCCTGTAGTTATTAAAGAGAATGATAAGACAGTCATTCATGGTGTGATTAAAAAAACATTTAAACTTTGTTCCATTTTTTTGTAATAGTTCTAACCTTTCCCTTTCTTGAACAGACATGCCTTGGATAGTACTTTTCAAAGACATTTAGTAGATTGAATCTTCTGGTTGCTCTGCTAGAGGATTCTGCTTTTGGTAGTGAATTTTAGCCGAACAGGACCTGCTTCAGCAATGAGATACCATCCCAAACTCACACATTGGTCTCTTCCCTGTATCTGACCCTCTGCACATACTTTGTTTACTCTCCAGACTACCTGTCTGAATAATCATTAGACCCAGATATGTAGGCAGCGGAAGTTGAAAGCAAATCTGAACTTTATTTGAATGTCTAGCTAGTCTTCCCCACTGCCTGCCTCCTGAGCCTCTCCTTTGGATAGTGCGGCTAAGCATGACCTTAAAGTATCAATATGGGGGTGGAAGGGACTAGGACCAAGCCGAGTAAAAGCAAAGATTTACATGAAACCCTAAGCCTGCCGCTGTATCTGTATGTAATGATTTTTGACAATGCTTTTTACTGAAGATAATCTGTTTATGCATTTTTTCATCTTGTGCTCACTTTGAATTTACCAGGTATTGACAGGTATACTTTAAGCAGCCAGATTTCATGGACAGGGCCACGTTTGGACGCATAGGTAGAACAGGTGAAGAAAATACTGCTATACCCCTGTGGAAATGCTCATCATTTGTTATTTGCTTTTTTTTAGGGTGATTTGTCTTGGCTGTCACACGGTGAGCAGCAGATTTGAGCTTCAAGAACGCTTCATAGCTCTCAATCCATCTTGGAATGAACAGGCTTATGGGGTTGCACCAGATGGTGATGTTTTCCTGACTGATGAGCAAGTGTCCAATTTTCGTGTCCCACCCTGCGACAAGTGCGGGGGTATTCTGAAGCCGCAAGTGACATTCTTTGGTGACACAGTAAATAGAGAATTGGTGTTCTCTCTTTATGACCGGCTAGGTGAAGCTGATGCCATGCTGGTAATGGGATCCTCACTGCAGGTAAAACATATTTTTTTTAAAGTGAAATTTAATGCATAGATTTTCCAATGTATTTTACCTTTGCAAGCACAATATGCAAGTACCTGGTATCCTCAAATATATGTAAATAGACCATCAGTTAGATAAAGGAAACAAATGGGCGACAGTTGTTTTTTTTTTGTGCTTGTTGAATGAGCCCCACCACAACCAACGGCCGCCCACACATCAGCCCAAAAAAAACTCAATTTTTTTTCATGTTACTCACCCGTTTGGTGGTTCCCTACCTGAAAGCGGATGGCTGTTCTTGCAATCGTGGGGAACGGCTCATGCTGAAGGGAGGAAGCGACTACCAGGCAGGGATCTGCAGTGAAGGCTGCACACATCTGCAGGAAAAACTCCAGAAATCCGTGACAGCAAAAAACGATATCCAGGCCCAGAAGGCCAAAGGACCGCCATGCCGGCCTCACTGGTCCATATAGGGATCCCAATCGATCCCCTCAAAAAATCCGCCCCCTCCTCCTCGAAATTGCAGAAAGGGCAATCTTGCCCAATAACAAAGATGGCGGCCTCTGCCATGGACCGCGCAAATGCAGCGACGGGGCGGGCACAGCGACGTCAATCGCTCTCCGGTAAAACAGCCGGAGAGAGCGGGCGCCGCACCTAAGAGGACCCGGGCAGCTGCAGAGACAGTTCCCCGCAGCTCCATGCTCAGAAGGAGAGCCATGGATGACCCAGGGGAGGCACCAAAAATCAGGAGGTGAGGACCGAGGGAAAAGGAGACAAAAGAAAGATTTAACAACAGGAGAAAAAAAAAAGCAGAAAAAAGCGAGAAACAGATCCCTACCTGGGCTCCTGCACAATGGCCCTGTTGCTCAACACCACACCGCTTGTAATCCTATTTAGGATATATGCGGGACACCACGCGCCCCTAAGAACTGCCAGAAGGGGCTCCCAGTCCTAAAGGCACATTGAACAGTCCAGGAACTGGGACTACACCTGGGAGAGGCTGAACCCAGGCGGCACTGCGGCACTTTATGACCCAGAGGTAGGGACGACATGACTGGTCGCAGGTAGAGACGCGAGGACAAAAAAGAGAATGCAGGAGGAGTCTCTCTCTTTTTTTATAGATTTTTACTGGTCCTGTGGGTAGGGATAAGGGGCGGAGCTTATCGTTTGTATGCTGCCAGGAAGGCACCAGGAAATCACAGATAAGTGACCCTACCGTAAGTGTTGATCTCCTTTGTTCCCCACTGCCCTTATTGTTTCCTCCCACCAACCCCTACGTGTCTGTAGTGAAGTAAGTGTTGGAAGTGCAACACTTACGTCACTACAACAATGGGTGCAACGATGGATACAGCCGATTGACACCCCCAAAAATTTCGGTTTCAGAACCTTCAGCCTGGGATTTCTCTGCATCAGAGCAGGAGACCACAGGAGATGTTTCTTTGCAGATGCTTTTTTTTTTAAACCAAGTTTGGTAAATCAACAGAGTCACCTTAATCTCTGCTGAAGGAGGGGATCAGCGAGTCTGAACTTTAAACCTTCCTTTCAGGAGAGACCACATGACCAGGTGCTTAGGCATTTGGAAATACAATACAATCAGCAAATCAGGGTAAGTATTTCTCTTACTTTTATTACTTTTTCCCCAGTGCAGCAACACTGTTAGCAAAGCTTTATATTAACATTTCTGTATATGAGCACGTTAAGCGGTGAAATATTTCACATATTAAAAGGCCCCACCATTAGGGATGCACCAATATATCGGCCGCCGAAACAGATCGGCCGAAAATGAAACTTTTGGCATAATGCCGAAAATGCAATTTTCTGGCCGATACACCGGAGCATCCATGATTTTTCTCCTCCCCGTAGGGCGCTGCTGTGTGTTCCAGCGGGGAGGAAGTAGAGAAACTGTCACAGGCGGCCGAGCACTGCGGGAGGAGAGCGCTGTGAGCGGCCGGCGTATCTCCTTCCACACCGCTCAGCCTCCTGTCATAGATCGGCAGAACGGTGTGTGGGCGGAGAAAGTCAGCGCTGTCACGGGAGGCTGAGCTCTACTCCCACACTGCTCGCTCAGCCTCCTGTGACAGCGCATCAGGAAGGAGAGCGAGTGCAAACACTCAGCAATCATGGATCGCTTAGTGTTTGTACATAATTGAGGACATAGTATGTTTACTATATCCTCAATTATGAATGAATGAGAAGTGATCTACCTCACCTCCTGTTCATTCATGATTGTGGTTATAGTAAACATACTATGTCCTCATGTTATGAATAAACAGGAACACTCAGTACAGAGGATTAATGTTCATTTATAACAGGGGATGCAGAAATAGAGATTGAGGGCCCTGTGTCTTCAATCTCTTTTTCTATTTTACAAGGGAAATATCAGGGGTCTGTTTAGACTCCTAATATTTCTCCAAAGCCCCTAAAAGTAAAGTAAAAAATACAAATATGTAATAAAAAATGAATACATAAATAAATATAAAAAGTGAAAAAGTTTATAAAAAATACAATATTTTGAAAAAAAGTGAAAGTTAAATAAAACAATTTTTTGGTTTCGGCCTGACATTTTATTTTTTTCGGTTTCGTTTTAGTTTTGACATTTTCATTTCGGTGCACCTCTAACCACCATTTCTGAAACCTAGGCACCATTGTTAGTAGGTTAAAGTGACGCCAAACTCAGGAGTTAAAGTGACAATAAACTCAGGAGTTAAATCTTATAAATGCATTCAAGTTCCTTAACTATTAACAAAAATGTATCTTATTTGTGTATCACTCAGCTGTAGATCCTCTAATCATCTCTGAATTGGTGCTGACACTGTCCTTCCTTCTGGAGGGTGGCTACTTTTGTTCGCTATGGTCCCTGTGTGTGTTGTAAAGTAGCCACCGCTCCAAGCTCACTCCCGGGATGGACTACATTCCCAAACTAAATGTGAGATTGTAGTCCATAATAGAAAGAAGGAATCGCCAGCACTCAGTAGATAGCGTTCAGATAATAAACGTCCATTTAATCGGACAAGTCGTCACACATAACGAAATACCAACGTTTCGGGGCCGCACAGGGTCCCTTCATCAGGGCAATCACATTATTATTCATCAGGGCAATCACAGCTTTGCTGCTACCTCCATTCTGGGAATCTTTAATAAAGCGTTTATTAAAAAATAGAAACTGGTACTCACAACTAGAAACTTTTTGATTAGACTGGAGTTCTTTCACAAGAGAGAAGTGCCATATGCATGCATTTCTCAGATTAAGATTGCTGACTGTACAGGACAGAACTTTGCTGTGTGTGAGGTTGGATTGCAGTGACACAGAGTGCAACCACCTCATGAAAAACAATGAACGTTAATGGATAACCAAAACCATGCACTGAGAATTTGTGTTATTTACTGAGAATATCAGCTGATATTCTCAGGCCAATTTAAGTTTGTTACTAGCCATATATGGGGAAAACAGGTTCAGTATAAGAAAAGGAAAATAAGGGAAATGCATGACAGGGTAATGCTTTAGCTCTTGTCTTAAAGGCTTAATTTACTTATTAGACCTTTCTAGTTTTATGTTACACCCATAATCAGGGTTTAACATGACATATGGTGACTTTGACAACCCACCACCTCCGGTCAAGTGCAGGGACATCACTGCACTTGTAGTCCATTCATACTTCCTACCGTCCCTTAGCTGAAAGTCCGTACCTCCGTATGGACAAGAGCTGGTAGAAAGAGTCTGCTGGAGGCAGAGCATTGCACCCGCAATTCACTGATCCACTGATAGTGGTTGCAGTGCTTTGCAGGCTCAAATGCAAAAAAAGAATAAGTGCACATGTTTTTCTTTTATTAATGTGTCTGCATTTATTTATTTAATTTTTTTGTGTGCAAAAGGTGGATTTTGCCTTTAAACCTTAAAGTGTAAGTTAAATAATTTTTTAGAGAATGCTGATTGGCAGGTTTTTTTATGGCAGTACTTACACAGTCTTTTCTGCCATAAAAGCTTTTTTTTCGATCATTTGGCACTTTTATTATTTCTATACGATGAGATGTGCATGCACAACTCAGCTAACAGACCCGCCATGCTGATATGCAGTAACCCCTGTACGCATACATGGGAATTCATGCTAGCCGGCCCATTAACAGGCTGAAGACACCAAACCTGCAAAAGAACCGAGCCACAGATGGAAACGACGAAGAGGGAGGATTGTGGCGTTAGAGGGGATCAGTTTGGCAGGTTTGTCATAATGTTCTAATATGCTGTGCATACTAGAACATTATGGCTTAAAGCTTGGGTTTTTTTTTTAAAAGTCACTTTCCTACCACTTTAAGGTAGCTATATACCATTCCTCCTAAATAAGCCCAAATTGGAGCTGTGGGTGGACCTGTCAGCACCACCCAGCACAACAAACTTAGATGAAAAAAATCAAATGAGTCCGGTGGAACATTGCCGATTGAACGGTGACTGCATCCAATCAGGTATTCCCGAAGTCAAGGTTGCCGACTGTTTGAATACAATAACTGCTCAGATAGAGATTCTTTCATCCACGCAGTTTAGTGTGGGTGAAGGAATCTATTCATGCTATGCATGTATGGCTAGCGTTATTCAAGTCATTAAAGCATAATGACCTGAACTATAGCCCAAGCTTGTTTGGCCATAGCTCTCTTTAGGGTCACAGGAAGACATTTACTATGTCCTCCTGTGACCCAAAACTCAGCATATAGGAGGCAAAAGAGCTGCGGCCAGGAAAGATCCTGACACTATTATCGGGATCCACCCCACCACCTGATTGACAGTTGGCTCTGCCTCTCTAGAGGCAGATCCAGCTGTGCCCACCCCTTCCCTTGACTTTCCCTCTAGTCAGCGCTGGAGGAACAGAGAGGGGAGGGGGGAATCCCTGCAGGGAGTGGTAACTGACAATCACCGCTCTCTGCAGGGAGAAGATCGGGAACTCAGCGATCAGCAGTGCTTGTTCACTCAGTTCTCGATCTATAGAGCCGACATGTGACAGTTGCAGTGTCACACATCAGCTCTAATTATGGGGATGATTGTATTTCACTCTCCCCTTAATTCTCCTTTTAAAAAGCACGCCTGCCCTAATAGAAAACAACATATGGGTTTAAGAGGAATAGTTTCTGAAATTGCTGAATGTAAACAGTTACCATTTTTACCTCCTTTCCTTGAAATGGGAGATAAATGAAAGCACCATCCAGTGTTTGACACCTTGACAGATTATGTGTCTGTTCTGGCCAGTTTCCACACAGCTGAACAGTGGAGGCATTGCATCATGGGAACAGACCTTTTGCTCTGGTTCACGCCTGCTCAGATTTGATGTATAGGGATGGGGAATGGATAGAAAACAGGTTCTGTTTTTAATGATTTTTTTGTATTTTTTCTATGTGCATGGCTGGTAGCAGCTTAAATAAGGTTGTTTTGCAAACAGAAAAGGTTTCTGTTACTCTAAAATGTTATTTGATCATGTCATGTGTCCAGTTTAGATGTGGAGTATCCCTAGAAAAGTTATTCGACTTATCTAGCTTCTTCCTGTATAATTAGTGTCTGACAAAATAATACAGAGTGCATTGAGCTATAAAAGAACTTTATCTTCTGTTTAGGTTTATTCCGGGTATAGGTTTGCGCTAAAAGCCCAGGAGAAGGGAATTCCTATTGCAATACTTAACATTGGACCCACCAGAGCCGATCATCTTGCAGTTGTTAAAGTCAGCGCTCGCTGTGGAGATGTCTTGCCAAAGTTAATGTCAGTGAATCCGTGTCTACAGGAAAATGTGAGCTAAATGACTAGTGGAAGAGACACAACAAGCAACTATGCGCAAATTGGATATATTGTCTCATAAGTGGTGGAAGAATCTTCTGGGTGCACATAGAGCTGTAGCTAGTTTATTATTAATGCAACACTTTACAGGTCTCCTCTATGGTGTTTACGATATATACTGTATATATAGATATCTCTCTCTCTCTCTATATAGATATATATAGAGAGAGAGAGAGAGAGAGAGATATCTATATATATAGAGAGAGGTATATATCTATACATACAGTATACATACACACATATATATACATACATACATACAAATAGAGATTTTTTTTGCTATATGTCTTGGCGAATAATAGCCAGGTAGAGCATCATACCTCTTAATAGCTAATATACTTTTTCATTGTGCTCAAAGGTTTCATTATTAAACTAAACCAGTAAAAACCTGCTCATTCTGCATTCTGCCGGCTGTCCTCACCTTGATTCGTTATAGTCCTATTCTAGGCTATTTAGCATACTTCACCTAGATCAACACTCTAATCATTTTATAAGCCCTGAAGGAGGGGGAGGCCTACCCCCCAAAACCCATGGCTTTATCTGATGTTCTTCTTCAATGAATACTTTAAATGAATTTCCGAGTAAGATTACCCTTTTTAGTAGGCGCTCCCAGCTACATACTACCGATTTGTCATAAACCTGATCATTTCATACTGAGCATCTGTTGGAAATGTGCATAGACAGAGGTTACCTTCAATGAAAACCATACATCAAACCAATCAGTAGATCCAGAAATATAGTCATCTGTAGCTACATATAAATGTCAGCTATCTTGTAAAAGTCAAGATTGGCACTGCCTCCTAGTGCCTCTCGAGTGTCCCCATTGGTCAGTAAAGCAGCCTATAACTTCAAAGGGCAAACAGGGAATTTAGGGAGGGGGTGGGGCCAAGTTGATCTTTTACAGAAAAAGTCTAGATTGGTTTATACCTGCAGCAGCCTTTATCTACTGATCGCAGTAGTGTGCAGTTTATGCTGAAGGTTACCTCTACCTGTGTATGTTTTTATTCATTATACAGTATGTTCAATTTGAATTGTCCACATGTGACAGGTTTACTTTAAAGTTAACCAGTCAGCAATGAGTATCAATAATAATCTTAACCTCCACTCTAAAGTTACTATACAAGATCCTTAGCTCCTCGGATTTACTAATTTTCTTTGTAATGCCAGTAGAAGTGTCAGACTCTAAATCTGTCCTACTGTATCCTCTGCTCAGAAACACATGAAATGTCCTCCTGTATTGGGGCCTTACAGCCTGACACTGGGCTGATATTCCTGCTCTGACGGAAAAAGGATTCAACTTAATACCATCCCACAAGAAGCAATGCTGCTCTTTTATAACAATTTGAGATTAGGGATCCAGATGCTTACAAATGCCTGTTCCTGACTGCTTCTTAAAGCTAAGTTCCCTACCTACACGTAAATACACAGATGAAATCATATAAGGAAACTGTTTTACCTGCCAAAGGATTTGCAGTTTTGCCATTTACACCGCTCTGCCACACAACACAGCACTTTCTAAAACAAGTGGGACCTGAACTTTCTCTTCTGCATTTTCACGTTCCCTTACAGGTCTCCTCCGCACTCCCACCCTATGACTGGACAGTGAAATGAAAAGCAACAGAACGATGAGCTCATCTTTCTAACTTTCTGCTCGTTCCTCCAATCAGCATGCACCTTGCACTGCAGTACAACTGATTGGCTCCCACTGTCACTGTCACACGCTGGCTCAAAGACCAAGAGCTAAGAGATCATGTTACCACTGATCGACTAGCTCACCGTCTCTTCCCTCCTCCCCTCTCTGTTCCTCCAGCGGTCATTGGACGGACAGACAGGGGAGGGGGTGGGCACAGCTGGCTCTGGTTCTAGAGTGGCTTAGCCAGCTGTCAGTCAGGCAGCTGGATACATTTGTCAGGATCCTTGCCAGCTGCGAGCGGCTCTGCACTGTAAGCAGATATTGGGCAATATCCCTCTATCTGCTGACTTTGGGTCACAGAAGTATATTAGTAAATGAACTCCTGTGACCCAAAAGAAAAGGAATGTGAAAACATTTTTTTATGATTTTGGATTGGTTTCTATGAGTTCCTGCATTCTTTGTATTCTTTTATAAGGAGACATGTTCTGAGAGAAATATACAGTCGTCCTTTGCCGACCTCCAAAGAATACTAGTTGGCTGGCTGTCATACTTTTCCTCTGGCTCCAGCATTTTTTTTAAAATTCACTGATATTGATCAGATATGCATTTCAGAGATGTTTTGACGTCATCAAACTTCAATTGCTGCATATTTGTTCCAGGTCTGCGGCTTAGAAACTACCAGATTACCAAAATTGGTGTGATTATGTCCACTTTTTAGAGCATGGAGTGTATTTTAAAGTGTAACTCCAGCCAGAACTTTTTTTCTTTGAAATAAATAGAAATTGTTAGGAGACTGTCAGGTTTTTATCACTAGACCCTTAACTTCCAGGAACTCTATAGAGGTTCTAAGCTTTTCCCACTTAAAACTTAAAAAAGGAGCCTGAAAGGCTTTAACATGATCTTGTTGCTCGATTTGCTTAAAGAATATATGAAACTACCTCAGCTGATATCTGTACCCTAGCTCTGCGTAATTGTAAAATTTTCACCTCTCAGGAGTTGTAAGATTATATGTAACAATAAAATGTGTAGTACTATTAAGTGATCTGTTTATTTTAAATATTCAGGCTAATTGGAATGCATTAACCATTCCATAATTGAAAAAAAAAAATTAGCTGGGTATTTGGGCAAAAGCTTACATTGTTTAACCACCTTCCGTCCATGGCCGTTTGTGAACGGCCGGACGGAAGTCTGCTAGGAGCGGGAGGGCGTCTTAAGACGTCCTGCCCCTCCCCCCTCTCGTGTGCGGCCCTCAGCGCGCACACGAGAGGGGAAACTGTGAGCATGTAAACAGCCAGCGATGGCTGTTTACATACAAGCTATCAGGCGTCTCTAGAGACGCCCGATCGCTTGCAGGAGCTGCGGGTGTGGGGCCTCCCCCACCCCCCGTACCTGTGTCCCGCCGTCTCCTCATAGCCGCTGCCGGTCCGTGATACGATGTGGCCAGTGCGGCTGGGACCGGCACGGCGACGCTTTAACATGCGTCGGGTGCGCCTATGTACGAAAACGACGATTGCGCCCATTATGCAGCACATGTTACATATCGCCGCGAACGTCGGAGTGAGAGCAATAATTTTAGGACCATCAATCACTGATAACACTAAACTGATGAGCGGTAAAAACGTTTAAAGTGTCGCCTATGGCCAATTTTGGTTGCAGTCGTTTTCTGCGATTTTGCGGGCACGCGCATTTTTAAATGTTGACTTGTTTAGTGTCTATTTACCCGACGTGACCCCGTCTTTTATATTATACCAAAAAATTGGGGTGAAACATGTATTTTTTTCAAAATTTAGGGTACTTTTTTTGTTATATAGTAAAAAATAAAAACCCCAGTGGTGATTAAATACCACCAAAAGAAAGCTCTATGTGTCCCCAAAAAATGACGGAATAAACGTCAGTCAAAGTGCCGCAGCGCTGAATACTGAAAAATGGCCTGGCCAGGAAGGGGGTGAAACACCCCGGTCTTCAAGTGGTTAATAAAAATGCCATCGAACCTCTGGTTAGGAGAGTGTACGCCCTGAGGGCCCATTCACACCACATCCAGATCATCTCCAGACTAGACCAGATTGTTTCTGGACCCAAAATGCATCCTAATGTATCCCTATGCTATGTCTTGCCTCTGTTCACACCAGCCCAGTCCGTTCCAGACCAGAAAAATACTGGATGTCTCAATTTGTCTGGTCTGGAATGCCCTGGAACGCATCAAAACCTCATGCAAACGCACTGGAACACACCTGAAAGCCCATTTTAAGCTAAAAAGAAAACAGTTTTGGAACGCGGTAAAATGCAATGCACTGCGTTCCAGATCTGGTCCGGAAAATGGTGTGAACCTGGGCTTAATACTAAACATGCAATTGCTAAAAAGGGACTGCACAGGCGCAGTCTGTGAAAGGAAAGTACAAGCCACATTAAGCCCCCGTCTTCACCTGAGGTCATGGATTATGGGCAGTAACTAAAAGATCTGCTTTTTCAGGGAAGTTGGTGGAAATAAGTATTCTCTTCATGATTGCCAGGCTTACTCTCAATTCCTGTTCAGTTCAGGTAAAACTACTTATACATTTCAGAAGGGGGTCAGGCATGCAGACAGGACCCAATAGATGGGATGGCTCCACACAAGCCTATGAGGTATCAATGCGTAGGTACAGCCAGTGCCAAAGAATACTTCTACCTAAGAAGTAAACATAGGTGTGTGAGGATCTGGGGTGGGGGTGTCAGTGTAGGTTAGTTGATGAGGGATGGGGGGTATATTAACTGCCTCCCGGCCGGCCGTCGTGTAAGCACAACCGGCCGAGAGCTTCCTGGATCTGAGGGGGTGTTTTTAAAGTCCCATCAGCCATGTCCACTCGCGCGCGAGCGGGAGACTGCCAACATTTTAAAACAGGCAGCGTTGCCTGTTTACATACAAGCTCTATAGCCGGCGGATCACTTGTATAACATGCCGTTCTATGTGCCCCCCTCTCGCTGGTCCCAAGCTCTGCTGTGCTCGGTGCAAGCCCGGGACCAGCATTGTGGCTCTGTGACAGGGGATCAGAGGGAGATCAGTACACGGTCTCCCTCCGATCCCCTCTCTGGTGTCAGAATGCGGAAGTGATGTATATTACATCACTTCCGCATTTTGCTGTCACGCCAGCTTCATACGCTGGAGAAAAGCTAATGAAGCAGAACCCTGCTTCATCATCTTCTTTGGGGGTCCTTAGGTGACATTAGGGGTCTCAGAGACCCCTGATGTCTCCATAAAGATGTCCTGTCACATCCTCTTTGCTATCACATAGGGAGTCTCTTAGCCCCCTATGTGATAGCAATAAAGTTATATAAAGAGTAAAAAAAATAAGAAAAAAACATTAAAGTTACACATGAAAAATAATTTGTACAAAACACAATTTTTTTTAAAAGTCCCCACCCATACACGCATGCGTCGGGTGCGCATACGTGCGAAAACGGTGATTGCGCCCATTAAGCCGCACATGTTACGTATCACTGCGAATGTCGCAGTGAGAGCAATAATTCTAGGGCCATCAATCACTGATAACACTAAACCGATGAGCGCTAAAAGCTTTTAAAGCGTCGCATATGGCCAATTTTGGGTATATGGAGAATTTTGGGTATGGCGCTCCCATACCCAATTTTGGGTATGGGAGCGCACAATTTTAAAGCTTGACATGTTTGGTGTCTATTTACCTGACATGATCCTGTCTTTTATATTTTACCAAAAAATGGGTAATAATAAATGTATTATAACATAATGTAAAAAAATAAAAACCCCAGTGGTGATTCAATACCACCAAAAAAAAAAAACTAGGTGTCCCCCAAAAATGGTATAAAATGTATTTCAGTACAGCGTTGCTTGAAGGAATAAATGTCAGTCAAAATACTGCAGCGCTGAACACTGAAAAATGGCCTGGACAGGAAGGGGGTGTAAACACCGCGGTCAGTTGAGAATGCTCCATAACTAGGGCAAAGGAACCATAAGCATATCAAGAAGCAAGGGCCTGCCTATTCAGTCATTCCTGGATGGCTGGCTGGATTTGGCTGCTGTCATCTCTGTCTTCTGTGAGTGCCTTTGACGTGCGATATAAGACAAACCTAATAACAGCAATTACATCTACCTGTCCATCTCCCTAATTGTTTATCATTCCATTGGAGCTACTCCATATGGGTGAAGGGGAGGTGGGGGGCAGAAAATGCTGACATGATTAGTTGGCATCTCCATGTAAAATGTTCAATCCAGATATAGCCCAATGAACTTTGCCTGAGTTTGCCTGCTGAGTCACAACATTGACTACAACTGTTGGCTGGAAGATACGAGGAGCTCCACAGATGGAGTTAATCCACATGTCTTAGAAAACTGGCATGAATATTGTTGGTTAAATGCAGGCACCTGTGTTCTAAGACCAGTAATCCCTAAACAACTGATGGATCAATGTCTGCTTGTGTAAACCCCAAGTATCTGAAGTTGAATCCAAGACATTTGTTGTCTGTAGATACACTTACTACTAAAGCAATCTCCACCTTTTAGTTAGTTCAAAAAAAAAACACCAGGTATAGGTGTGTCTGTCACAGAGGTTACCAGACTTTCACCACAAGAGATTGGCAATTTACCCATGTCATAAAAATCAAGGCTAAAGTGTAGCTGTGAACTTTTTACACAAAGCAGTGTCAGTTTGCTTCAGTTCACCGAGCTCAGGTAACTGGGCTGCTCCTCTCTCTGCTGACTCTGTATTCCTCTTTCACAATGGCATCCGGAAAGCTGGTGCTGTTTTCTCTGGCGGTGGGACTAACTGCCTATTACTTTTATGACACAGAAACTATAACTCCAGGTAAGAATGCTTATCTGAAAATGAAATGTTGTCTAGTTACACAAGTGCTTTGCACAAAATCCATGCTGTGTTGTTATGTATAAGCACTTGTCTACACCTTGAGCTGCAAGTTAGCATTGCAGGATTATCTATGTCAGGCATTTTCTGAAAGCTTGTGTTCAGAGTCATTAACATATAAAATTGCAGCCTTCTTGTACCAGTGTAGAATTTGTAGAAGAAAATATAACTCCTTGAATTTGGATGTCACCCCACAAATACCTCGTCAGGACAATGCATTATGTAATGTTGCATGCACTTTGCAATGCTTTCTAGAAACATTACATTGAGCATTATTATGGAATATAAACTGGCCTATCCTTAGTCAATTGCATTCAAGTATAATGAACATAGAAGAACACTTTATGAATAAAAAAACGTATTTTAATGCATCCTATGTTCATGTGGCAGTTCTTGCAACTTTTGCTTCTCTGAACAATCCAAATTGTTTGTACAGTCTAAACTCTGTAATCATTAACATTTTGTAATGTTTGGCCAATCTTAAACCTCCTGAATGTCCCTCATTTGAAAACAGATTCATCTTTCCCACTTTTCCTCTCAGTTGTCCCTCTTTTTGGTCTGATATACAGATATCTATGAAAAGGTTCATTGAAACTATCAAAAGTGTTATTCTGCACCAAAACCTTTATCTTATCTCTTAATTACCTTGTTTGCTGTTTCCAATGCCAGGAAAAATAATGGTGAAAAAAATCTCCATAGGTCTAACCAATCATTTTGGCATATAGATTTTAAATGGTCTGCATAACTAGTGGCAGGGGTGTGTGCATTGCCTCCATACATTGTGCTGGAAGGTGTCCCCCATTCTCATCTAAGCTAGTTGGGAGGTATGCAATCTACAAACTGAAAGTGTTTTTTTTTCTGGTGAAGTGGACATGGCTTTTGATACCACAGAAGCAGCCGAAGTTTATCAGGGAATTCACCCAGGCGTGTATGTGTCTCACATTCAACGTCTAAACAGAAACAGGAACCATACCGCACTCCTTACTGGGATTCCCACTTGATGAAGATGGGGGCTCGAAATGACTGCGGATGGCACCGCCACACATGAACAGTAGAAAAATGTCACCAGCACACCATGAGTTGAAAAAGCAAAATATTTTATTGCCAGTAGCTGTATCTCATTGGCAAGCGCTTTCGGGGCCTCGCAGGGTCCCCTTCATCAGGCTTAGAGATTCAATGTCTGTCACCATCTGTAGCCATCAGGTTAATTTTGGCAAGATCTGTCCATGTTTGCTAAGCACGTCAGCTTGGGAAAGCAGTTTTCCCATAATATAGCAGGGAGGTCAGCCATACTGGCATAATCCAACCACCCTCAGGTAAAACTATTTACTATGTATGGTTTGCTTGGCACAGTATACACATTCATGTATAGGGAGAGAGAAGCTAAGGCTACTGACACCTCATGTCTACGGCCAGCTCTAGCTTTGATGGATTGGATTGGATTATTATTATTAGGGAGCCAGTCATCCATTTGTTTCTGTAACTAAAAGTGCTGCTGCTAACTGTTGGCTCCATCAGATGTCTGTTTTAGTTTGCTAACGTGGCCTCAACTTTGAGCCTAAGGCTAAAGCCCATTTTCACCTTTTGTGGAGCTATTTAAAAAAAAAACATACCAGCAATGTACAGCGAAATAACATGAAGCAGGCATATGCAGTTGCTGTATATGAACACAAAAACTTTTTTGTTAGCTTTCCTCTTCGTATCCTCATGGAAATGGCCGCCTCTGTGCTGTGCAAACTATCTGTGTAAGTTACAACTGAGCTCTCTCTGAGCTGTCTCTCCTCCCCATTCATTAGTATTCATAGTGGCAACCCTCCCCAGACAGTGTATTGTGTGCAAAGGCAGAGATGGTGTTTAGTGATCGTGTTACACAGAATTGTTTACAGCCTGCTTTACAATCTGACCCTAGAATCAGACTGAGTTTCCTGAGGAGAACATTTTGAATTCATAGGATTCAGCCCTAATACGTTCATTTAAAAAAAAAATTAAAAAGCCTGCAATGCAAGTCATAAAATTTGCACATCATCACTGCACCTCTACATTACCACAATAAATGCTAATCACGTACAAAGGTGAAAATTGACTTAAGCTTAGCTTCTCTAAGCTGTTGGCTCTTAGCACTGGCTGGGAGGGACTTAAAGTGTATTTCCAAGTGTGTTTCTCATGTGTTCGTATTCAAACAGAACAAAAAATATTTTTTTAAACAAATATCTCTATATTTCGTTTTGCTGCAGCAGGCAACATGGCTGAATCCTGGTTTTTCTCAGCACCTTCACAGTGATCTGTCCTTATAGAAAGACTTAGGACTGAAATTTGAGGATTGTGTTTCTTTCAATAACTGAATTGACATTTCAATGCAGAAGCCAGGGTTGTAATACTTTAACCCTTTGTTAGGACAGGCAGTGTTCAAAGCAAGGAGAACTTTTAATTATTAAGAAACTGATAAACTCTAACCTAAGTAAAAGCAATTTAAACTGCAAGAAGCATTTTTAAAAATATTTTTAGCTTATGCCATGTGAATGGTGGTAATCCCAGCCAGTTTGGCTGCAAACGTGGAAATACAAATAAAGCCTGAAGGTTCTAAGCTGCATTTTTATGCACACCAGCGCACATGTTTTTTTGTTTGCCTGTGGAGCGTGCATCGAAAAACAAACCACACACTGAAAAAAAAAAAAAAGTGCACGAGTGTGCTTTGGTCCTCTTCTGATGATTTCCTGCACCCCCCAGGGCGCAAGGCTCCTGACGGGGGCAAGGACGACTTAGGTCCACCTACCCAAAGGCCGGCAGACCCCTCTCCTCTGGGACCTGCCGAAACAGGTCCACCGAGTACTAGGTGGGGGCCCCCCCGAAGGGAGTCCCCCGAGTGGGAGGGGACAGGGAAGCCCAAAGAGGCCACAGAACCTCCTCCCCAACTTCAGGAACAGGCCCCCGAAGGTACCCGCACTCTCCGTCATTCTGTGAAGTCAAAAGTGCATCCGTGCATAAAAATAGTGCTTAAAATAAATACGTGCCAGTGCACAAAGCTGGCAGGCCATCCGGGCAAGGTATAAAAATTGCCCCAGTTTGCCAGAAGGCCTGCCCAAGAGGTGTGGTGCAGAAATAAGCTTGAGTGTCGTGACCTAGTGCTGGTGAATCAAGTGGGGTCCCAAACCCAAGTGATTTTTCTGGCACACCCTGAAATGCCACTCCCAGGGGGCACCACCGCACATGTATGGTATGAACAGGGCATGTAGAAAACAATTGTTTTCTACGTTCCCCTCTAACACCATATATGGGTGATGGTGTGCAGAAAACGCAGCTCAAGGGACATGGTGTGAACAATTCCTTAGTACTGACTAGTAGGGACTTAGGCCTGAAGTCAAGGCTTCACGAGCTAACTGAAAGCAATTTTGGACAGGGCATTGAAACAGCTTTTCTGCCAAAAAGGAGGTAAAACCAGACACCTTATGGTGCCTGCTCTTAGGACATAATTTTAGTTTTAAATATATAGAATCAAAGAAAGGTTTAATAAAGGATACTATGATTCCCTTTGAAGTATTGCAATACAATCAATTAACCTGCCTCATGTGGTATCTAAATATCCTTATAATCAGCAGGGGCTATGTCATCTCATATAACTGTCTGACATTTGTAACAAATAATAGAGCTCAGATAGCTTTTGGTTAAATGCTATAAAAAGCACATAATGCAGCACAGGCTGCCACAACAGATGCCAAAAATGTATAAAAGCTTCAAAAGTGACACTGATAGGGGCTGGGGCAACTACTAGCTCTGTTATTATGTTCAGAAACACTAAGCCAAATTAATGCAGAGGTTGTGTGCTCCCAGGGGATTCTAACCGGATTCTCCAGGATTTACATAAATAAAGTGCACAAATGCTTATTTCTTTCTCATTCATTGAAGGACACAGGATTCAGAGACATTTGGGTTATACTGCCTCCTACAGAAGGAGATGGACACTGGCAAATGAAAAAACAATGACCAATCTGGAAAACATGAGTTGGCATCCTGTAATGCAGGTGCAACACGGTGCAACGCTGAGCCAATGAGAGCTTCATGCGGAGGATCAACCCCACAGCAGTGGCATACATGAACCAAGAGAAGAAGTAGTAAAAGGGATTTTGTTCTAGGCAGTACTTCTGTTATTTAGATTCTGGGTATGGACAATTTGTTTGCAGACCCGGATCTGAGGAAATGGATCCTTTGGCAGAAGCAGTGGATGCTGTGGTGGTTTTGAGGGATCAGTACAGCCTGATCTATGCTTTTCCTTCCCTGAAACTATTTCCTCCTTTGCTCCACAGGATTGAAATTGAGGACATTGAGATGATCCTCAGAGCTCTGGACCAGCCCAGGAGGATGTGGTACTGTGACGCAATCAGACTCCTGGCCGATGGTCCGAGGATTCTTCCAGATCATCAGGATACTCTATCCCAAGGACTGCTTTACCATCCTGCTTCACGACATGCCTGTTGAAATCTAGGTCTTGAGGGATAGGGGCCTTTCTGAATGGGTGATTCCTACAATTGTAACAGCCAGGATACAGTTAGGTCTGGACCAACAATTGGCCCTGAGTACAATAAAGCATCAAATCTCTTTCCAGAGACTGCTAACCTCTTATTCGTTGATTAAGACTCTTGTTTAGGGCATCTCTCATGTGGCTCCCCTTGCACGCTTGCCTGTCTGTCCGTGGGATCTGAATTTGGTTCTCTCAGCACTTCAAATACTAACTTTTTACCCTTTTAGAGATAGTCCTTTTCTAGTCTTACTCACAAGGTTGCTCTCTGTGTCACCATCACCTTTTGCGAGGCATGTGTTTGAACTGATGGCAAACTTCTCGGGTGCCACTGCAAATCAAGTACAAATTCAAAAAATAGTCACCAGCACACCAAAGCAAATTCTGTCAATTCTCCTTTATTGACAAAAGAAAGATATGTCAAAATGTGTAGTGATTATTTCGAAACCATTTCAGTCCCTTCTTCAGGCTAATTTCACTCTGCCTGATGAAGGGACCGAGATGATTTTGAAACGTCGCTACACATTGTGACATACCTTTTCTTTTGTCAATAAAGAAGAATTGACAGAATTTGCTTTGGTCTGCTGGTGACTGTTTTTTAAATTTGAACTGACGGCATTCTTGTAAAGAACCGTTTCTGGTCTTACAAGGTAGCGTTGAAGCTTAGTGTCTCTTTCTTAATGTTTGTTTCAGCTTTTTACCTCAACTAGGACGTTGTACTGCCATCCCTCTGTCCGGCTCCAATACAGCAGAAGATTTTCTTTCATTGTCTGGATGTAGTTTGTGTTATACAAGTCTACCTCACTGCCACTGCTTCCATTAGGAAAACGGACTGCATAGGGGAACCAGGTTCTTGCTCCACTATTTCTCAGTAACCCAGATTATTGTTCAAGCCTATGGTCTTAAGGATTGGCTTTGACTCTTTACTGACAAGCCACACTTTACTACATCTGTGAGTGCTTCTTGGGCTTTTCAACCTCAAACAACTGTTTCCCTGTTATGCAAAGCTGCCCTCGGTTTTTGTACACACATTCTCTAAGTTCAACCAAGTGGATGTTCAGGCTTCAGCTGATGCCAGCTTAGGGCATAAGGTCCTTCAGGCAATTGCAGGCAGTCACCAGTTGTTGTTTTTTTAGATGACCTGTTTGCTGTGTGCACCACCTCCCAGTTGGACAGTTTTGGGTGTCCCAATTGTCTCTGAATACGGTGTCCCTCAAAACAAAGAAAAAGCATATTTGTATTCATGGTGAAATCCTTTTCTTGAACTTCATGGAGGGACATACCCCCTCCTCTATGGATATGGTCTTGCTCTTAGCACTGTGTTTTTACAAAACTAAGGCATTCTGGGAGTGGGAGGGGTTATACCAGGCTGGGGACTTTTTCTGTTTGCCAGTGTCCAAATACTCCAGGCAGCAGTATAAGCCAAATGTCTCTGAATCCTGTGTACCTCCAATTATCTCCAAGAAAAGCAATTCATGGTGAGTAGAAAAATCAGATTTTATGGCTTCTGGAATTGAAGATATTGAATCAAGCAGGAACACGATCTCAGTAATGTACTGCTTATCAGTGCTGTGGCATTGTGAGGCAATACCACGGTGTTAGGTGGCCTCAAAGTCACCCAGGGTTCTCAGCCAGAGGGGCTGAGTGGCTCCAGGAAGACATTACTGGTACCAGGAGAGAACAGCCTTTTCAGTTCTTTCCGGGTTTTCTGAATCATAGTTGGGATCCTGGAGCCAGGAGATTTCTTAGAGCTCTGGGTGGGAGGAAATCTCCATTCCTGGGTCCATGCTTTGGTGGTGACCAGCACCTGATCGTGCACCTGTGTACATCCCTCATGAAGAGTGTGCTGGGATGTGTTCAGGGCCCCACCCTGGAGTCAGTGGAGGCCAGTGCAGCAGGGAGCTGCGGGGTTTGTGTACCATATTAAGAGGATTGGCATGTTATTGCCGTTGTCTGGAGGAACCAGACAGTGGCCCTAAAGATTGAGGCCGGAGCAGCAGTGCTGCAAGAGAGACAGATGTCGGTGAGCCCTTATCTGTTATATGCTACAGCAAGCTATTTATGTTGGATTTCGTGTTATCTACCGTTTTGAAAGCAAATAAACTGCATCTTACTTGCACCTCCGGTCCACGTGGAGTGTCCTTGTTACAGTGCAGACAGATGAAATGTAAGTAAAGTTATATTTACATTGGTCTGGACCTGGGATGAAAGCTTTTAAAGCATATATTAAAATAGATAATTGATTTGAAAATTGCATTTCTTTCATAAAAGCCACACAGAGGATTATTCATCTTCAACTGGAGAACCACAGTATTTTGTTGCCTACAATACAATTACATTCTCCCCTTTTAAAAACCCCTGTGCAGTATATAGAAATGAATGGAAGAAACGGGTTGGAGACTGTGGAAAACAGACACTTTGGTGTGAAAAAATAATCGTGTACAGCTACCTCAGTAGCGCTGTCTAGAGACAAATAGTATATGCACACCTTATGTCAGAACATATTTGGCAATTAACTCTGCAATCTAATACATTTCTAAAGATACACCAAGATTAAGGCTGAGTGAATCGGGACACGCGTCCCAGGATCGCACGGTCGTGCACAATTGCAGACACCGATTGTCGCGCGGCCTCATTGATTTCAATGGAGTACATCGCACAGCTGTTTGAGCAATCCTGGCACGAGTGGAATGCTATTAGAAAATAATTGCACCCACAGTGTGATCACCGGTGATGGGCGACTCCGTGACCACGCCGCAATCCGCGCAGTATCGTGCACGATTGCCACACGGTCACGGATCGTCCAGGCCCAAGAGTCGCATGCAAAATACTCACCCACTTCTGTCTCCTTCAACTACATATTGGTTGTTCAAGGAATGGGCAGGCTTAAAGTCCAGTAGGGATTACTGGACAGCATGGGCTAGCCATCTCCAGTACTTTCTGGGACTGAGGTATGTGTATGAATGAAACATGACTACAGTACATTCCAGTTACTACTCTACTGTATATTGGTTTACCAAAGGAAAGGGGAAGTTATGTCATCAGGAGACCAATATTGGCAGTTATTGTCCTAAACTTTATCTGGATCTTGCAGACATGGTAAAAGGGAAGAAAGTGCTGATCACTGGCTCCAGCACGGGAATTGGAGAGCAGATCGCATACAAATTTTCGGAATTGGGAGCTCATGTCATGCTCACAGCCAGAAGAGCACAGCAACTACAAGAGGTATGCTTTCCACTCGAATGTGTCATCAATTTCTGTTTTAGATATGTCACGTAGACATGTGCATTCGGGTTCGGACGAACCTGCAAATCAAAGAAATTCAGTTGATTCGTCGGTTCAAAATAACGAATTTATTATATACCCGAATATACTAAAACTATATTCGGGCATACTGTACATAAATTTGTTGGCAGAATGCGCGGTAGCCAATCGTTCTGCGCAGACGTGCCGCCATCTTTGAGTATATATTGGTATTCACCACGATGGCGGCACCCGAACACACAGGCGCCGCCATCTTGGTGTATACCAAGATGCACTCAAAGATGGCGGCGCGCAGGCGCAGAACGTGACGGCGGCCGACATGACCACCGCTCGTTCTGCATTTTCAATGTGCTGTTACAGGCTTAACAAGCGGTGGCCACATCGGGCGCCGGCGCGTTCTGTGCAGGTGCGCCGCCATCTTTGAGTATATTTTGGTGCCCCCGAACATACGAGCGCCGCCATCTAGGTGTATGCCAAGATACACCCAAAGATGGCGGCGTGCAAGCCCAGAACGTGCCGCTGGCCAACATGGCCACTGCTCGTTCTGCATTTTCAGTTTGCAGATTTGCATTCGGTGGCTCGTTGCCGCCGAAAAAAACCAGAAAAATTTGTTTTCTTTGATGAAACGAATGGAAAATGTTTTTCTTTTTCATTCATTTTGTTAGAAAACAAAGTTTTATGGCGTGCACATGTCTAATGTCACATAACCTGCTTTCTTATATGTATATAAATCTTCACTTATAGAAAGTGCACATGATATGGCTCCAATAAGTCCTTTCATTCCTACAAAACTGGCATAGTCTAAATAGCTTGTCTCTGTAAATGTCATTTTATAGTGTAGTCAAATGTTTGTCTTGTGAAGAAAGAAGATGCATTGTCCCTAATGCCACGTTTATTGAGAAACTGCTAAAGGCCACTGCTTAGGTTGTGGCAAATTTACAAGGGTCATAAACACACTGCAAGCTAACACTGAACACAGTTACATGGACAGAAGCCTCAAAAGACCCTAACAGTTAGGGAAATAGTGTTGGTTACATATTAGATACTTAGATTTTGTATTTACTTATTATTTCTTTCTCAACAATTGAGGGAAATAGTAAGTCTTTAACCTTTGTGTTATGCTGCCTCCTGCAGGAGAATAGGACACTCGCAAACAAAACACTAAACAGCCACATGGAGAGAAGCTTGAAAAAGCCTAAGAGTCAGATAAATAATGTTGGTTATACGGTATATTAGATACTTCGATTTTATATTGTATTTATTTTATTTCTTTCTTAACCATTAAGGGAAACAGTAAGTCTTTAACCTTTAAGTTATACTGCCTCCTACAAAACGATTAGGCACTAGCAAACCAAAAACTAAACAGCCATGTGGAGAGAAGCTCGAGAGAGTATAAGAGTCAGAGAAATAATGTTGGTTATACTGTATATTAGATACTTTAAGTTATACTGCCTCCTACAGAACAATTAGGCACTAGCAAACAAAAAACTGTAGGCCAGGCCAGGAAAGCTCCTTCCACAATCAGCATGCCACATGTTTTGCTAGTGGGGGGGGGGGGGGGG